ACGCAAACCAGGTTAGGATAACGGCGAGCTTGTAAATAGATGTACTGGGGAGCGAGAAAAACGCTCGCCGGGCTCCCCGGAGGCTTCCGTCGCGCTGATACCGACAAAATGGCGTCCGTCGCGTCCGCCGCTCGATAGCTCGTACATTAGGCGGAACAGTTTTGACACGATAACGAGCTAAACCGTGGCCCCGCGCCCGCGTTCGGGATTTTATCTATTCAGGGGATGTTACCGGAAGGCTGCAGGGTAGACGCGCACGAGAACATGTCGCGAACTTTGATACAGTGCACCTAGACAAGGGGCTTAACACTTTTCTCTCGCAGGCCGGCCCGGAGTTTCGTAATAGGCTCTTTGATGTCGGCGCTCAACGGCGAACCTATTAATTTCCCTTCCAAGTTACGATTAATAAAGGAATTCTTGGTTCTGTATACAACATTCTTCCATGAATAATAAAATACAACGTAGTATTTCAGGTAGAAACTTGATTAACACACGAAACGCAGAGAATATATCGAATTGAATTGAGCTGCGCGATTGTTATTGCAGATTTATCATAAATATTACTGTTGCAATGTTTATGGTATAGAGAAATTCTCAAGCTTCCGTACGAAAATATGTCGGTTTAATGGGTTTAAGCTTTCAGCGGACTTCGGTTCCTGGAGAGAACGTCGGAGCGTGCGCCGGCGAAACGGGGTTACGGATTCGAACCCTATGGGGAGTCGCACGCGTTCGATGGAATTTTTACAATTTCCATCGCGCGACCGGGCACAAAGAGAGCCCAGAATATTTCCCGTTAATCGCCTCGTCGAACAGGAGTCGTTCGCCACTTGGTTGAGCGGCGTTTACATCGAGCGACGCGGGATTAAATTAAGCCCGCCGTACCGGGCGTGCACTCGCGCCGTCAAAGGGCATGAATTATTCCCAGTGGGCCGTTCGCGTACGCGGCGCGAGCCGGGCAACGCGATAAAAGGGCGAAAGCGCCGTTTTAGCGGCCATGGAAGCTAATCGGATTTACAAGGCGCTAATAACGACCCGCGTCTCCTCTAATTACCGTCTTTCAACCAGTTCAGACGTTTCTTCGTCTGACGTTTTAAACGTGTTCCGGATTACAATATAGATATCGTTCGTTCCAATGGTGTTCCCTTATGGTTCAACGGAAATTACTGCTTCAAGAATTTCTGTGATGATTCTATCGTCAGTTGTTCACTAATAATCGTGTCACTTGGGAAATGCTTATCTTTGAAAATAATTGAGAAAAGTAATATAGGTTTCTTAGATTATTGTTTAGCTCGTTGACTTTCGTTGCGATTGAGACCAAAGCTTTCGAATCGCTCGAAATATAGGGTATTAACATTGAATACATAGCAATGTAACTAAGTGAATACATGAACAAATAATAATATAATTCAATCGAACGATTCAACATTACATTTTTCCCATTTTATGTAGTTTGCTCTTGTACCTAATGCTCTGACATTCAGCTAGATAAACGAATAATAACAATTCAATCGAACGATTCAACATTACATTTTTCCCGTTTCGCGTAGTTTGCTCTATGAAATCGCGCGGCATTCAACGCGTTAACAGTTACGGCGTCGCAGCGGGATCGCGTGCATAGACTCACGCGTTTGACGCCGCGGCAGGAAGTCCCGCTCGCGGCCGTAACTCGATGGAATAATTTCGCAAGTTCCGGCGCGTTGCACGGCCGGCAGCGCGCGCTCTTCCGGCAACGCCGATTTTCCTTCGCGACCGTTCGCCCGGCAGTAATAAATCAGCTTTCCTCGCGCCGCGAACTTCTTTCTGCTCCGCGCGGCCGGCTCCATTTATCCGCCGCCGCCGCCCCCGCGCCCGATGGAAACATCCGCGGCCGGCCTTTGTCGAACCACCCCTCGGCCCACGTATTTACGTTGCTTTAGCGCGTACGGAAAGTTTCTTCGGAAACTGCCGCGCGAACTTTCGCCGACTCGGCCCGAGCGTGTGGCCCCGTTCATCGAACTTAGCATTCACTTTGCCCCCCGGCCGCCTGTCAATCCCACCCCGTCTCGCTTCTAGACGATGCACGCCGGGTTGGGGCTGTTCGCTGTGCACGTGTGACGGAAAGTTTCGCGTGTTGCTGATTTTACGCGGAATTCTGTGGTTACGAATCATCGTGGATAAGATTAGAAGGCTTTCTGAGATGTTCCGGATAGATTGTGGTGGATAATGGGTTACTTTTGGATCTAGATTAACCTTTTGCACTTGAGAAATTATTTGAAAAATATTTTTGACGAGTAATCATTATTTTCTGATGAAATATTCATGATTTCTTATATAACTTACAGAAAAAGCTTGTGTAAATTAAGCGACAGAACTATTTTGTTTCGACGTTCCATGTGTTATACATTATATAAGATTTAATATTGAATTTTAAATAATTCTCTTCGGTCAAACCAAGTGACTGACGCCTCTCGAGTGCAAAGGGTTAACACTTTGCATATTGATCGAGTTTCCAATGTAGGGTATGTATATAAGTATATATAGATAACAACGAAATAGTGAGTGAATATAAACAGATAATCTCATGCAACTACATTCTGCGATAATTGCACTAGGATCATTACTTAGATATAACCTGTAATGATTCGAACGTGATATTTCACAGAGCATTAGCAATCTCTACAAATACCCACGAAGAATGAGAGCACAAACATGCGCAGAAGAATATTCATTTCCGATGATTTCAGAAATAATGTCTTTACTAAAGTAAAAATGAGTCTACAATATACTGAAGCACTCTAGATGCCGTAAACAACACATCTTCAAATAACAAACTCTCTAAAGTCTTCCCCGGGGTTAAGGACCGGGCACAAACAGAAACATTAAGCATCGCCGATGATTAATCGCCTACGTTTCGCTACGTTCCTTTCCTGCTTCCGCATTATCGAAATCCTACAATCATCCTACGAAAACCCACAGCGCTCCAACAAGAAAACAGCTCTAAAAGTTTCGCCACGGCGCGTCGCGTATCGTTCGATAGTAAAAACAGTGGTTTACTTACCGCGACACCAAACAAATTCCACGTCGCGGCTAAGCTCCCACGTCACCGAGGAAATATAAGGTCGAACGGGAACAGATGGACGGAACCGGGTGCGTTTCGCAATTTTTCGGCGGGATGGATCGGAAACCAGGGTGGCAACACTCTCGGT